ATGATAGATCAAATGGGTTCCGAAATCGAATGATCACGTGTATAAAATTTTCCCTTGAAGACGAAGATTTTGGGCAGTATTAATGAGCTCAGATAGCTAATTGTGCAACCATGCTGTGTTTTGGGAGGCATCATCATATCTTGCCGCAGAAATTTTTGAACAAAAAAGCCCATACATTTCTGGCAAGTTTGGCCTTCAGAAAACATGGAACATAATTAATGAAAAGGGTTAACAAGTAATAAAGCATTTGAGACATTCTTGCTAATTTTCCAACATTTGATATTTTGTTTATTGAAATGTAAAAGTTAGTTGAGCAAACGAGCAAATCTCTGATTTCAAACGCTTTGAAAATGTCTTGAATCAGCTGGCTGCGCTTCGTGAACGTGCTCGCAGGAATAGCAGCTAGGGAGACTCTTAAGAGCTCTACGCCGCCTGTGAGATTGCTGCAGGCATAGCAACACTTCTATACTTTCACTCCGACTGAGGCAAATAGTGATATGTGTACCAAATGCTATTCAACATTTACATGGCATCTAATTTCTCAGGCCAAACGTAAAGCAGAACAAATGATTTGGATAAACATTAATCGAAATTTATAGAGCAGTAAGAAGGCATTCCAATTATAGATGATTTACTCAAAAAAGCAATTTCGTTAGTAAATAAGCATCCCCAAAGCTTTATGCAACAACTTAGTACACACTATTTCCATTTAGATTATTAATCTGCTGGTTGGTACCAGTCAATTTTTCACAGTGACATTCTTCTTCGTTGGATGGTTCTGGAGCATTGCATGGGGTGGACTGCTCTTGATTTATTCGAGTAAGTTCATTAAATTCTTACAATAAATGAAGGAAATTGAAACATCCTGATTGAATACACCTTTTCTAATTTAATTTCTTACCTTTAAAAAGTTGCCCAGATGCAGATGAACTCCATCTACACTGCATATTCATAGACCAGTGTTTTACATCACTGCATTTTCGGTGAAGAAATGTATGTGAAGATGTAAGATTTGGAATAAACTGAAAATTTAGAATAGTGAATACTTAAAATTCTGTGTACGTAGAGTTACGGATGCAGAGGCATAGACTAAGTGTGCAGGCTGTCCTAGGAATGCGCCCACGTTTAATCGTTATCTTCTGATCCAAATACCATAGGTGGCTATAACTGTTATTAAGCACTTATCCTTACTACAAGACCGATATTGAACGGTCATCATAACTGAACGCAGCGTACTCAGTAAGCCCAGCAGGAATTGCCAAATAGTTGAATTATCTTTGGACCAAGGCAAATAATGCATCACGAATGTGCTAAAGAAGAAAACCTTGACATAGACATGAACCGTCTGTGAGTAAAAATGTAACGACCTGTAGCTCTTCAATCTATATCATTATAAAGATTTGAAATTAAAAGACCTATCAACGGTCCAACAGTATGCAAACTTTTGTAGACAGCATAGGACACTTGTGCTAATCATATTAATTCAAATTTTCGGTCAGCGACCTTAGATTTAGTTGGTTTTGGTCAAATACAATGTGCAGATGAGGTTTTTCAATTTCTTTTTCATTGAACGCCTAATGACCAATTTCCATTTCTCGGTTGCATGACTGATCTTTTCTATGTTCAGAGTAATGCAATGTATTTCCACGAAAAAAAACTTCTGAGACCTGTCTTTTCGTTGCGCGATGTGTGCTGAACTTTCGTTTTTAAGCCGACTCTTAAGCACAGGCCGCCAAAATGGACTACTTCGAATAAACATCGATAATTTTGTCAATTTCGCTTTTACCGCCGAACCTGCTATTAGGTTAATATAAGTAACATTTTGATAAGATAATTGGGTTGGGAGATGTCGATTGCTCTTTAAACATTAATTTTTTGTAAGTCTATTTCAGACCTTGTCCACCACGCTAACATAAATTCAATATTATTACTCAAACCCAAATAGTGGATACAAAATGATTTTACACATTTCGTTTTGTGTTTCTGAGATTTGAGCATGAAATAATTCGAGCTGATCAAGTCAATTTGAAACATCCATAAGTGTAGAATTGTGCGTTTTTTGGAGAACCTTTCAAAA